CACCCCAACCCTCACCCCCACCCACAACGCCACCCTCACCCTCACCTTCACCCCCACCCTCACCCCAACCCTCACGCCCACACCCACCCTCACCCTCACACCCACCCTCAGTCCCACCCTCACCCTCAAGCTCACCCTCACCCTCAACCCGACCCTCAAACCAACCCCAACCCTCACCCCCATCCCCACCACCACCCCAACCTTCACCCCCCCCCCCCCCCTCCCCCTCACCCCCACCCTCACCCCAAGCCTCACCCTCACCCTAACCCAACCCTCACCCTAACCCAACCCTCACCCTCACCCTAACCATAACCCTAACCCTCACCCTAACCCTAACCCAACCCTCACCCTAACCCAACCCTCACCCTAAATCTAACATTCACCCAAACCCAACCCTCACCCTCACCCAGCCCTCACCCTCACCCTAACCTAATCCTAACCCTAACCCTAGCCCTAGCCCTAACCCCAACCTTATTCTCTAAAACTAACGCTAATCTCTAACCCTTATCCTCATCTCTAACCCTAATCCCAACCCAACCCTAACCCCAACCCTAACCCCCACCTCTAACCCTAACCCTAACCCTCACCTCTAACCCTAACCCCAACCTTAATCTCTAAAACTAACGCTAATCTCTAACCCTAACCCTCATCTCTAACCCTAACCCTAATCCTAACCCTAGCACTTACCCTAACCTTAACCCCAACCCTAAACTCTAACCCTAACCCTAACCCTAATCTCTAACTCTAACCCTAATCCCTGACCATAACCCTAACCTCAACCCCTAACCATAACCCTAATCTCTAAAACTAACACTAATCTCTAACTCTAATCCTAATCTCTAACCATAACTCTAACCCTATCCCAAACCCAAATCTCTAACCCTATCCCCAATTTCTAACTGCCCTTTTGGCTCTCAATGCCCCATTTCAGAGGGGACTTTGGAATCAACCCAACATCACTGGGGACTGGAGTCACATGTAGACTGGGCCCGGATAAGGGCGGCGGGTTTTGTTCCCTTGAAAGTGTATGAGTGAATCGCGCGACCATTAATGTACAGGAGCAGGAGTAGGCCATTCGGCCCGTCAACTTCCCTCTGCCATTCACTTAGATCATGGCTGATCTGTTAATTCTCAACTCCACTTTTCCTGCTTTTTCCTCCATAACCTTACTGTTTCCCTTACTGGTTTAAAAAATGTCTCTCCCAGCCTTGAGGATACTTAATGACCCAGCCTCAACAGCCCTCCGTGGTAAAGAATTCCACGGATGCACTCCCCTCTGAGAGAAGAAATTCCTCCTCACTGCTGTTTTACATGGGCGACCCCCTAACTCTGAGATGGTGCCCTTTGGTCCTAGACTCTCCCACAAGGGGAAACAACCTCTCTGCATAAAATCTGGTATGATTCCATGAGGTGTCCTCTCATTCTACTATATTCCAATGAGAGTACCGCCAAATTTACTCCACCTCTCCTCACAAATCAGTCCCTCCAGACCTGGGATCAATGTTCTCTGGACTACCTCCAACACCAGAATATCGTTCCTTACATGAGGAGACCAGTGGATTTTAAGCAACAACTAATGTTCGTTTCAGTGTCCCCAATATTGAGACTATCTTCCAATTCTACATTTAGTCATTGTATTGAAATTCCCAAACCATCATTCAATAAGAAAGAGCAATATGTGAAGTCTTTGCAGCAAATATACTGTAATGCCTTTGAATAATGACAGTGCATAGGTTCAGGGTATTCAGCCAGAGATTGAGACTGAGCACACATTATATGCCATTAAATGATATACCGTAAGCAGATGCACATTTATCACAGCAGCTGCTTTGTAAATCCTAGTTTGCCTTTGAAAATTTCAGGTTCATTACTATCAGAGACTGCAATTTACAATGCATATCAATTCCCACACTGATCTTATTCATGTTTCCATTAAAGGTTTCTTCATTGAATCAAAATGCAACCTGTCACGTCAAAAAAAAATGTAGCAGATGGCTAACCAATAGCACAGGGGCTATCACTCACCGTCTTCAATCATTTCCACACATTTGATACGAAGTGCTGGGATGTGCCTCCAGTTCTGTTTAAATCTGCGGTGTTTTCTTTCATGTACTCAATTTTGGGAGGTGAATATTGATGGCAAAGACAGTACATGGCAGGACAAGAGAAAAGAGAACAGAAGAACAGGGACGCTCACTAAAAGAAGCGAAGCAAGCCACCTTGCAGGAGTGAACGGCACAAAGTAGGAGAAACAGCAGAAATAAAGGACAAAGGATCTATGTCTGTTTATTTACAAATGGGTTGCTTTCGGCTCTCACAACTGACTTAATAAAGGTTTATTATAAAAGAGTTGAAAAGGGCTGGTTTTCATGCCAGAGTTTGCATTTCTTTGAGTATGAAGTACTAGGGGGTGAAGGTTACGTTGGGTGGGGGTGGAAATGGTGATGGTAGTGTAATGGTAATCCCTCTGGGCTAGTAACTTGCAGGCGCCAGGTTAATGCACTAGCGGTAAAGGTTCAAATCCTGTAGCCAAGGGGATTTGAAAGGAGGAAGACATCTCCCTATCTACATCAATGGAGCTGAGGTGGAGAGGGTTGAGAGCATCAAGTTGCTAGGAGTGTTGATCACCAACAATCTGTCCTGGATCTCCCACGTAGATGTAACAGTCAAGAGGACACAACAACGTCTCTACTTCCTCAGGAGGCTTAGGAAATTCAGCATGACCAACTTTTACAGATACACCATAGAAAACATTCCATCTGGGTGCATCATGGCCTGGTACAGCAACTTTGGGCCTCCTGCAGTGCCACAACGATGCCACCCGAAGGTTGCAGGAACAGCACCTCATATTTTGCTTGGGAACCCTGCCGCCCAATGGTATCAATGTGGATTTCACAAGCTTCAAAATCTCCCCTCGTCCGACCACATCCCAAAACCAGCCCAGCTTGTCCCCGCCTCCCTAACCTGTCCTTCCTCCCACCTATCCCCTCCTCCCACCTCAAGCCGCACCCCCATTTCCTACCTACTAACCTCATCCCGCCCCCCTGACCTGTCCGTCCTCCCTGGACTGACCTATCTCCTCTCTACCTCCCCACCTACACTCACCTTTACTGGCTCCATCCCCGCCTCTTTGACCTGTCTGTTTCCTCTCCACCTATCTTCTCCTTTATCCATCTTCTATCCGCCTCCCCCTCTTTCCCTATTTATTTCAGAATCCCCTTCCCCTCCCCCATTTCTGAAGAAGGGTCTAGACCCGAAACGTCAGCTTTCCTGCTCCTCTGATGCTGCCTGGCCTGCTGTGTTCATTCAGCTGTACACCTTGTTGTCTCTTGGTACAGCAACTGCTCTGCCCAGGACCGTAAGAAACTACAGAGAATTGTGTACACAGCCCAGACCATCACGAAAGCCAACCTCCCATCGATGGACACCCTCTACATTTCTCACAGCCACAGAAAGGCTGTCAATGTCAAAGACCCCTCCCACCCTGGTAATAATCTCTTCCAACCTCTTCCATCAGGCAGAAGATACAAAAGCTTAAACGCACGTATCAACAGTTTTAAGAACAGCTTCTTCCCTGCCGTTATTAGACTGCTGAATGGACCTCTCTAATTTCAAACTTAATGCTGATCTTGCTTTTGTGCACCTCCAGTGCACCTGTAACCTTCTATGCCTTGCTCTGTCTAACCACCCCATGCTCTGTATGTACGATCCGCCTGTACTGCTCGCAAAACAAAACTTTTCACTGTACCCAGGTACATGTGACAACAATAATTTAAATCAAAAATGCAATAAATAAATCTGGCATTGAAGACTAGTCTTAGCAAGAATGACCATGAAACTATTGACAATTGTTGTTTAAAAACCCAGTCATATACTTGAGAGATGGAAATCTCCCATCTTTACATGATTTGATCTAAGGGGTGCAGGCACGTAGTTCCTTGAAAGTGGCATGACAGGTAGACAAGCTAGTTTGGCAACGCCAACCTTCATTGGTCATACCACTGAGTACAGGAGTTGGGACATCATGTTACGGCTGTAAAAGACATTGTTAAGGCCACATTCGGAGTACTGCGTATAGCACTCTGCTATAGGAAGGATGTTAGTAAACTGGAAAGGTGCAAAAAAGATTTACAATCATGTTACCGAGACTGGAGGGTTTGAGTTAGAAGGAGAGGCTGAATAGGCTGGGACAATTTTCCTGGTGCATCGGAGGCTGAAGGGTGACCTTATGGAGGTTTATCAAATCATGATTCGCGTAGATAGGGTGAATAGTAAACGTCTTTTCCCAGAGTAGTGGAGTCCAAAATTGAAGGGCATAGGTTTAAGGTGCGAGGGGAAAGATTTAAAAGGGACCTGAGGGGCATGTGTTTCAGCCAGAGGGTGATGCATTTATGGAATGAGCTGTCAGAGGAAGTACAATAATAACATTTGAAAGGCATTTGGACAGGTACATGGATGGGAAAGGTTTAGAGGGATATGGGCCAAACACAGGCAAATGGGACTAGTTCAGTTTGGGAAACTTGGATGGCATGGGCGAGTTGGGCCGAAAGGTCTGTTTCCACGCTGGAGGACTCAGTGCGGTTCTGGGCCTACAGCAACAAGGTTAATTCTGAAACAGTTTAGTAAGCTGCTCAGTTCAATGGGCAATCTGTTCGAAGCTGGCCTTGTCAGTGAGTGGGAACCATATCCCCCGAAAGAATAAAACAAAGAGAAAACTAACTGAGCAGTTGGGAAGTGATAAAAGGGATTGACAGAGTAGATCGGGAGAAACTGTGGGGTGGGTGCAGAATATAGGGAGCACAGTCTTAAAATGACAGCTGCAACCATTCGGAGTGTTGTCAGGAAGCACGGTTTCTCAAAAAAGGCATGAAAACCTCAAATTCTCTCAAGGCTAGAGGTCCACTGAAACTCTTCTGAGCCGGATTTGTGTGTAGCAGTGTCCAGTGGGAGGTTACTCCAGAGCCCTGGAGATTTCAGTCAATGCTGCAGTGTTGGGGTGATCCAACTCCACTGGGGATTGTTGGATGGACGATATGATACATCCAGGTGGAAAACCAAAATCTGCCAGTCCCCAAATGTTTAATGGAATGGAGAGTTGTGGGCAGCATGCTAGTGCATGAGGCCGCCACAGTGAGTCAACAGGTACATTGTCACTCCCCACTCCCTGGCGTTTAAGACCCAGTGGCAGGTTCTCAAACAGCCCTAGGGCCCTAGGGCTAATAAGTACAGATATGTGTTCAATGGCAGCATGGTGGCTCAGTGGTTAGCACTGCTGCCTCGCAGCGCCAGAGACCCAGGTTCGATTCCACCCTTGGGTGACTGTCTGTGTACAGTTTGCACATTCTCCCCATGTCTGCATGGGTTTCCCCCCACAGTCCAAAGATGTGCAGGTTAGGTGGATTGGCCATGTTAAATTGCCCATAGTGTCTAGGGTGGGAAATGCAGAGATAGGGTAGAGGGTGGCTCTGGGTGGGGTGTTCTTCAATGGGCTGAATGGCCTGCTTCCACACCATATGGATTCTGCAATTTGTATAGCACCTGTCACGACCTCAGATCATTCTAACGTACTTCACAGCCATTGCAATAATTTGACTGCTGTAGGAAATTCAGTGATCAATTTGCATCCAGCCAGCTTCCCCTAATAACAATGAGATAAACAATTGTGTAATTTCAGACCTAGAGAGGTCTATAGCACAGTGAGCCCTTTGGTTATTGAGTCTGTGCTGGTCAGAAACAAGTAACAAACTATTCTAATTTCTAACTTGTTTTGCTTCTAACTGACACTGGTTTAAGAATAAATCCTGAGGGAGTTTTTTTTACAAATTATTGCTACGAGATCTTGCGTGTGCACTTGAGAAAGCGTACAGGGTCTCAGTTTAACATCTCAGCTGAAGACAGCACCTCAGGCAGTGCATCACTCCCACTGCACTGCACTGAGATGTCAGTCTGAATTCTGTGTTGATGGAGTGGGACTTGAACCTGCGACCTTTGAACTCTGAAACAAGAGCTTGTAATTTAAAATGCCATTGGTTTGGGGCAGGGCCACAGTCACACAAGTGCCCGTCACCCTCAAACACCGATGGTCAACATAGGTACACATGAATGTTTACATTGAACAATTCAACTACATGAGGCAAGGCGTTGGAGCCCAGTAATGTCCTGGGATCAATACAGTCATTGAGTTATACAACACAGAAACAGACCCTTCAGTCCAAAGATTTACAAGGATAGAGACTGGAAGGTTTGTGTTATAGGGAGAGGCTGGATATGCTGGGACATTTTTTACTGGAGGTGTTACCTTATAGAAGTTTATAAAATCATTACAGGCATAGATAGGGTGAATAGCCAAGGTCTTTTCCCCAGGTTTGGGGAGTTCAAATCTAGTTGGCATATTTTTAAGGTGAGAGGGCAAAGATTTAAAATGGACATGAGGGGCAATTTTTTTTTACACAGAGGCTGGATCATGTGTGGAAAGAACTGCCAGAGGAAGTGGTAAGATGCAGGTGCAGTTACAACATGTAAAAGAAATTTGGATAAGTACGTGAACAGGAAAGGTTTAGAGGGATATGGGCCAAATGCAGGCAAGTGGGACTAGTATAGCTTGGGAAACCTGGTCTTTCAGATACAGATTTCTAACAGGAAACTGGTTCCGTGACACTCCTCCTCCCCTCCTCACCCCACTGCCCTCCTCCAGCTTCCCGTCACCATTCTGGGTACGATTAGCACACACTGACAAAGCTAAACTCCCAATCGTCAGGGAAGGAAAAATGTTCAAAGTTAAACTCACATTGCAACATGCTCAGATCCTAATGGAGTGTCGCTGGTCAGAATGTAAACATGTGAGAGAGGTACAGAAACACTTGAATCATCCTGTACGGGGGTGACATCAGGAAGGTGTTAGCATTTATTTATTTTCAGCAAGAAGCCAGTCTGTATTGTATTCCTATTTCTTTTATATTTCAATAATATAATTCATTCATAAAAATACCTTTATATACATACACATATTGGAGACTCTAATGCAAAAACCACCTCAGAAGCCTTTTTGAAGTGAATGTTTCCATTTAGCTCACCATCTCCTGAGGTTTCACTCACAGCCCTGGCTTTTTGGTGACTTTGATTGATGTCTCAATGCTGCGGTAACAGAATTATCTACTTTGATTAGAATGGTGAACTGCTCTCAGTTTATCGAACTCCACCTCCCACCCCCTCAGCTGTCCAACTATCCCCAGGGTCAGGCCGTTCCATTCACTTCATCCTGCCTCACCGCAGCCATTCAGAATGGGATCAATCAGCGAGGTTAGTCCCAGAGCCGCCCGGGCAGTTTGCTGGTCAAACAGAAAAGACATATCCAAATTGTTTCCGTGCTAATGAAGGATTCGTCTGTCAGATCTATATCCAGTGCCTCTAATTCATCATCCTGTCCTTATTGATGTACTTCCCCTCCTATGGCACCACAATTTTAAACTCTCATCCCTCTGTTTCAATCTATCCATGTCCCTCACTAACTCTGCACTCTCCTTCAGTCTGACCAATAGTCCTGCAGCCTCTCCTGGCCCATCTGAATTCCCACCTTGAGGCTCCCCAAAAGGTTTCTGTTTTGGGCACCCAACTCTGCAGTAGAGCTTTCTGCCTCTTCCTCCCATTGAAAATGCTCCTTTTGCCAAGTGGGAAAGTTGCTCCTGATTTCCCAGTTGGATTTACGTTATGATAAATTTGTGACCCCACTCATGAGTGGAAATATCTTCTCTACATTTCCCCAATCAGACCTCTTTGCACTTTCAAAACTTCTGCTACATCAGTACTTGGTCATCTCCTTCCCAGAGCAAGGAGCTCAGACAGTTCGGCCTTTCCAGATCACTCCTGAGACTGTCACAGCTGTTCCATAAACCATCACTCCTATTTTTCTAGACAGACATTCACATTAACTTCAATCAAGAGCAGTTTAGGATGGAATAGTGTTGTATAAGTCTTAGCAGGAGAGTAAGACACTCCAGCTAGAGCTTCTCTGCTCTGCCCATTCTTTTTCTCTCTTTTTCCTCCTTTTTCCACGTTTTTTTTTCCAATTTCTGACCTGGACTTACTCAGAAGGGGAATGGAGGATCTGGCAAGCCCAGGAATTGTGTCCCGGGACAGAGGCTGGCTCTGGGAATTGAGTCCCGGGACAGAGCCCGGCTCCGGGAATCGTGTCCCGGGACAGAGGCCGGCTCCGGGAATCGTGTCCCGGGACAGAGGCTGGCTCCGGGAGCGAGTCCTGGAGCAGAGCGAACACTGGTTAGCACTGCGTGACCCAGAGGGCGAACACTGGTTA